CAGCAGCAGCAGCAAGAGGCTGGGTGGTGAAGAGAGATAAGGTAGAAAAATAAAAACATATTCCTCATGAGGAAAAAAGGAAGAAAAAAAAAGCATAACAAATTTATTTGTACTTAGCCTATCTCAATATAAACCTGAGAGAGAGTGATTAGTTACTGCTCCTGATATGCTTTCTATAATCTGAGAAGGACTTTTAGACAATCATTGATCTTATGTTCTTGAATGACCAGGGACCAGCATTGAGATTACTTTTTTTAAGATTTGCAAAAAGTCACTCATTCAGCTGTCACTCAGAAAGATCATTTAAATTAGTTTAGAAAATTTTGACAGCTCCACAAAACCTTAGCTAACACTTCTCTAGTTCAAGTCATATGGACAATTGCACAAACACGAGAAGCTGTGTCTGCTTTGTTTTATAAAAACTTACCAGTCTTGGAATGTTCCCTAATTAGTGTTCCCAACAGCTTCCTGAACTGCCTGGTTTCTGGGCAAAGCGAGGGGACCTTCTTATACACTATAGAGTAGAGACCCTGCAGAGTATGCATCACAGAAGACTTCCAGAGCTTTTGCTGTAATATCAGGAGTATCTTGAGTACATAGGGTACTTCAGGTAGATCTTACATTTTGCAGAACTCTGCCCTATGCTGTTCCAAGAATGTATGGTATCTAAGGCAGCAGGCTTTTTTGGCACACACAGGATCCTAAGAGCAAAAGCATTTGACAGCTGCACCCTCGGGGAATGGAGGGGATGACAGGGATTTAACTGACCAGGTCCAGGAAAAATTGACGCTACTTCAGCACCGAAACATGGCAGAACATTTCCATGTATGGTAATGCTCTCAAAAGAGCAAGATATAGTAGGAGAGGAGTTGGGAAAGGGAATTGGAGGAAACTTAATTCCAGCTCAAAACAAATGATTTTTAAAAAAAATCAGTAACTGGCTGACCCAAAGGAAAGGAAAATGAGTTTCTTCCTCAGCTATAACCTCAAGAACAAGGCTATTGGGCTTCTGTACTCTAGCGTAGAGCTTCTCAAACTGTGGATCATGACTCCATATGGGGTTGTTCTAAGCAGATACTGATGTTTCACCCAGGTTGCTGTCCTTAAAGAGGTCCAGCCAGGCACTAGAAGTGATTTTTTTTTTCCACACAGGCTAGGCAGCTTTCTCAAGGTAGAGAATGAACTGAAAATAGCATCAACCAAAGGAGTATGATAGGGTGGGGTTGGCATGGGAAGCTGAGGCTTTGCCAACTAATGGGGTCTTAGATCAGGCTTTCAATATGGACAGAACAAACCTGCTTTGCCAAGCCTTCCTTCTTCCCCCACCTTGACTCACCAATGAGTGAATGGATGCCTTCCTTGTTGGTGTTTATTTTCAGGTTTTATTGCTAAGGAAATGATTCCTTTGTATTGAAACCCTGAAAGACTAGATAAAAGTTAGGGGTGGGGCAGAGCTCTATTTACAAATACTCCCTCATACAGATTGCCAATTTGTGATTTTTTTTTTTTTAATTTTTTGGTGATTGGGGGTAAGCGACTTGCCCAGGGTCACACAGCTAGTAAGTGTCAAGTGTTTGGTCTGAAGCCACATTTGAACTTGGGTCCTCCTGACTTCTATCCACCTAGCTGTCCCTGTGATTTCTTTTTGAGTGACTAAAAGCCCCTTCTCATTGGTACTAAAAGCTCCCAAGTGAGTTTAAGCTCAATTTTTCCAAAATTTGGAAATGTTGATTAGACAACAGGAAGCTGGGGGCTGGAGGGGCCATGCACACCGATTTTTCAGCATGAAAACACTGGAGTTTAGAGGAAAGGGAAGAAATACTGAATTTAGCTCAATTCAAATTAAGCTGAACAACACTATGACAAAACATTGGGTATCCCATCTTTGCAAATGTCCTTGGGAGGTTCCACACACTAACTGTACCATAGGAGCAAGAAATGGGCTTCATATTTCATGTTGATTCCATAATCCTTCTGACTTAAAGCTATGGGCAGCCTAGCCTCGGCTGCCTTCCTGCTGCTCTCCTCCAACCCCTCCCCTTTGGATTATCCTTCACTGGACCAGTTGAAGGGGAGAAAATCCACGAAAGCTGGATAAAGCCCTCAGCTCCAGATATGACTTCTCTGAGCCTCATCTATAAAACACAGCCACGGGCATGGGAGTGTTGATACTGATCAAAGGTAGCTTTATCATCCTTCCACGGTTCCTTGTTTGGTCTCTTCTGCCCATATCCATCAACAACCACGCAACCTTAGATATCTCATTGCTTGTTTGGTGTTTTGATCACTCAGTTGGAAAATAGGAATATAACCAAATATTAAAAATTCAGTTCCTATAAATTAAAAAGATCAACAAAGGTACAGGTTAGTAATCAGAGAGCAGTGTTCAATAGGATAGTTGCTGGCTTTGCTCTCTTGCTGCCCCTACATGGGTCTGTACATATGGATGCTAAAGACAAAGGAAACCTGCAACAGCTTAGTAATCCTAAAACAGATCAAATCACATCATTCCCTTCTTTAAAAATCATCATTGGCTTACTCTTAATAGGCTTTCCTTTCACATTTCACTAATTTCCTATTCCTCTTTACTCACTACATTCCAGCTAAACTGTCTTGTCCCATCTCACCTTGGTGGTCCCCATACCTGGATCACATTTCCTCCAAGACTCAGCTCAGATGCTAGGTCTATGTGCTTTCTTGATGCCCTTTAGTTGTTAGTGTTACACTATCTGCCTCCTCAAATTACATTGTATTTACTTAACATGGGTGCATGTATCCATCCCCTGCTAAGACTCGAAAGGTTCTTAAGAATGGAAGACTTGGTTATTACTTTGTAGCGTAGACCTGTGCACACACTCTAGGTGCTTATTTACTGAATGAAATCACAAGAGAGAACATTCAGCAGAAATATTAATTACTGCAAGTTATCACCCCCTATTCAAAAATCAACTGGGGCATGTGACACTTGAGGATGGGTCTGAAGAACACTACATTCTACATGGTGTATTATCATCGATTGCATTTTCAACTAGTAAATCAACTTTTTTAAGGACAAAGTAAAATAATCTCTACACCATCACTTAGGTAAAAGAATTACATTAGAACTAAGTACTTGATGAATTCTTCACAAATCCTGATTAGAATCACTGACCCCACACAGCTTTTTTCTCACCTGTCAGAAGACTCAGGCATTTGCTGAGCCTTAGTGAGAGTTGGAAGGTACAAAGGATCAAAACTAAGACTCATTTCCCAGGGGAAGAAAAATCCTCAATTGTCCTTTTTTGGTTCAAACAGAACAAGGAACCAAACTCTCCATTTGTTCTGAGTGTGTAACAAAAGCCAGAAACAGCTTTCTCATTACTACCTGCTGGACAAAACTGAAAGGAAACAAAATCATCCAAAACTCCCAAGAGAAGTATTTTCAGTCAGTCAGTTCTATGTATTTCCTCACTTATTTGCTTCTCGAGAACTATGTAACATTACAGTTGTTTTAAAGATGACTATCTTAGCAGGGAGGAAGAAAAACTAGTTATTTGTATCCTTCATGTTTAATGAAGGTTTCCAACTCTGATCTGGTCTAGTTTCAGTCCTGAGGTTTGATTTCAGATCCTGCCAAAGTCCTTACTAGGGCACAACCCCTTCAGAGGTACTAGCTTACACAACACATTTATACCCCACTTTTTTTTGTTGGTTGTAGAAGGCTTTTAGGAAAAAATGATGTATAGATCTGGGGGTTGATTTATAAAATTAAATCAGGCCAGAAAATTTCCCTCCTTTAGATTTTTCAAAGGTCATCTGTAACTGTAGATCAGCGGTTCTTAACCTGGGATCCCTGGAGAGTTCAGAGGGTCCATGAACCTGAATGAGGAAATGTTATCATTGGTTTCCTTTGCATTTTTATGTATTTTATTTTCTATATTATTAAATCAAGATACAAGCAATAACAATATTTTTTCCTAAGCTTTAATTTGTAAAAATCTTAAGTTTTTTTTAGGGTTACATAATGTTCAAAGAAGTCAAACCTAAACTTTTATTCAAAGCCAGTATTTGCTTTTGGTAATTATTTTGGTAAGTAACAGCTAGGAGCAAGTGTTAATTCAATGCATAAGCTTAAATGCCTATAGGTTGGTTCTACTGACAAGCTGGTGAATAGATACTTCACTTTCAGAAGCAGAACCAGGTAAGAGCATAGTAACATTTTACAAAAAAATTGATTAGCTGCCAATTTTTGTTACTAAAAAAATAGCAACCTTGGTTAGTTAGCTCACTTGGTTACTTCCTAAGAAGGTCATGGTATATTCCTCACATAAGCCTGCTAAGTTTCACAGATAATATGTTTCATGGCCATATCTGTATACCTAACCCCAACCATTTGGCTTGTGCAAACCTAAGCCCTGGGTCACAAAGAGACAACACAAAATCATTATCATGACTAAAAACAATACAGTTAAATACAGATGGATCGTGGAGACATCTTTACATATGAATGGCACGGTTCTAGAAAATGGGTTTTAGGGAGCAGCTAGGTGGCACAGTGGATATAGCACCGGCCCTGAAGGCAGGAGAACCCAAGTTCAAATCTGACCTCAGACCAAACACTTGACACTTACTAGCTGTGTGACCCTGGGCAAGTCACTTAACCCCAATTGCCTTTAAAAAAAAAAAGGGTTTTAAGTTCCTTCAAGTCCTGCCTCTGACACACAGGCTGTGGGGATTCTGGACAAAGTCACCTAATGTTTCAGTGCTCCAGATAATTCTCTAATGCATAAATTGTACAATAAATGCCTATCTGCTTGGGAGGGGGATGAAAGGGGTTGGTGGTAGAGGGTGTGTCATAAGGAGAGTTCCCTATACCAGTCAGATCACAGGTCCAGTCCTTTCCCCAACCTCACCAAACCCCCCCCCCCCGAAAATCTTAGGTAATCCCACAATCCATCCTTTTGCTTTCCACAAGCTACATTTAAAATCATCCCAAAGAAATGAACATTTAAGAAATTGGAAACTTTTATCCCAAATGGCTGCTTGAATTTATTTGCTTGATGCTTAATGGTCCTGGCACAAAATAAAAGTTAGCCAATATTAAGAGAATGGAAACAATGATTAAAAAATCATAACAGCTGGATAGAAATTAGTGTTTACACAAACAAAAAAGTAACCTTAAATATTTTTGCCAGCAAATAGAAAATGAATGTAACAGAACACTAAGAAGGCTTTATACATTTACGTTCATCACCTGACCATATTTTAGTCACCATAATATCTTCTCTCCAGATTTTAAAAAAATAGTATGTTGTTTTCTATAACATATCAAAGCTTTGTTTTTTTGTACAAAATCAAATAATGGCCAACAATTCACAACAGTGCAATAGGTAGAGGATACAACCACATCCAAGAGGTGCTGAAAATAAATACTCAAAGTTCTAGGGAATAAAGATTACCAATGTTCTTGGGGTTCATTTTCATTGTCATATGTCGAATATTTGACAAATTTCATGGACGTCATTTAGTCTCTAACAGAAAAGAATAACTGTCTTAAACAGAAAATGGCCTAAGATGACAGGTGTTAGGGAAGGATCATTGCTTTTAGGTATAAATCTCAATTAATAAAGGAAAAGAACAGCTTAGCAACTATTAAAAAGTAATGGTTTTCTATTGCTGAATCCTATCAAATGGGAGGCTATAAATCAGGCTCACTTGAAAGACAGAATTTAAGATTTTGTTCAAGAGAGTATATGGCTTAACCAGGCAAAGAGACATTACATTCTAGCCTAAGCAAGCAATAGAAATCCACCCGTATTTAGTAAAAGATCAGTCACATTAAAGATTTACCCACTTCTGTGTGGAAAGGAATTTGGAGAAGGCTAATGCCTCCAACCAACTTCGTGGGAAAGCCACGAAGAATATGAAGCAATTTGCTGATTGATTAATGGTGTGGCCAAAATTAGCAACAAGTGGGCCTATCCTCACTTTCTGTTCTTTGTGGCTCGTGCTGCCAAACAGTTCTGATACAAGAGAGCATCAAGGGCAGATCACATCTGTCTTACTGGGACTGAACCCTGCAGTCCTGGAGTGGTGTAAATTTATTTTAGTGTAGTCTAGAATTGCAAAGTTAGAATTTATAAGGATATATAAAAGTATAGCCCAAGCCATTCTTGTCCATCATGAAAGGTTCAGATGGCTCCCCCATTATGCACCAAAAAGGTATAAAAGGCACAAGCAAAAGTGACTAAGCAGAAATGATGGGTGAAACAACAGATCAATTCACAAGGCAGATACAGTAATTCATGTCCGATTTGTTTTCCCCTGAAAAGAGAGATCGAGCCTCCAATTCTGCTGTAGTGAAAACAAAAATACATTTTTGGTTTTAAAAATCAAACTATTCTTAAGAATTACTTAAAAGTTTTGAGGTTCATTTTATGTGAACTGAAGCAAATTAATCTTCAAATAAGCTAATTCTATCTGGAAAACACATCTGTCCCCTTCAAGTCTGAAAATGCTTTCACTGCTTTGTACACTCACTCATGTAACCTGAGCCTGATGGGTAGAATTCATACATATGAAACAGACAAGCATCCCCAGGATTAAAAGACTTCTTTACATAATGTACACCAGAAGAGATGTGTGCACTTTTATTCTCAGTATTACAGTAAATTGCACAGTCCTTGTTAAGTCTAATAGATTTCATTGATGCCTTACAGGCTGATCATATCGGTGTTTCCTTCCGGTCTTTGCTTGGTGATGGCTTCGCTTGCTCTTTGACCGCCTTTGGCTGCTGCTCTTTTGCTGCTTTTGTTTCAGGGACACTGTCTCTTTGCTGCTGAGGTCCACCCCCACGCTTTTCTGGCTCTTCATTTTCCTGCAGCTGCTGCTCAGATTTTGCTCGCTGCATCTGTAGCAGCCGAAGCTGCACTCGAAGTTCAATGATGGCCTCTCGCTCTTCGTGAATTGCTTGGTTCAAATGATTGTTCTTTATCTTTACCAATAACAGAAGGAACAGTGTCAATTAAGCAATGAAGACCAAAAAAAAAACAAAAACTGTTACTCAATGGCAAAGAAATTCAACACAGTGGTCTCTTTGTTGCAGTAAGCTCAACTAGGGAAAGAAAAAAATACTGCTTCCTCTGGTGGCTACATGCTTACAATCATTTAAAGAAATAGGCCAGTGTTTAATTATAGCCCCTCCCACTCAGCATTTCTTGACTGATCACAGAACATAGTCCTTAGTCATGGAAAGTGTAGAAGGAATCTCACCTTACCTTAACAACCTGGTGAGAAAGGTTCAGAGACAACAGGGAAAGACATGAGTTTGGATTCAAAACCATTTTTTATGACTGCCCTGTATTACATCTGAAGGTACAACTGACAAGTACCATCAACTCTCAGTCATTCATACTGAATGCAGGAGTATCTCACCTCCCAATCCCACCCATCATCTAGATGTATTTAGGTTTTAGAATACATTTTTGCACCTACAAAAATGGCTTGTCAGAGCCTATGAAATTCTTGATGCAAAAGAATCTGAAAAGCCACCAGCTCCTCAGCCCTGTTCAAAATCCACTTCTGCAGCAGTACTCCCTGTCAGGTCTGAGTTAGGTAAGTAAACAAGGGGGAAGGGGTCTTATATGGTATAACAAAGTGTAAATGTCTCCTCTAGCTGCTGTCTGGCTGTGACCCTGAGGGCAGCTTGAAGACCTAATAGAGCTCTTTCTTGCCTTAGATATTTCCTAGCTATGAGACTCTGGGCCCTTCTTTTAACCTCCCTCTGCTCCAGCTGCTGTAAAATAAGAATAATGCCAGCACCTCCCTCACAGAGTTGTTGAGGATCAAATGAAATCATACATGTAAAGTGCTTGTGGACACAGTAAGGCATTATATAAATGCTAGGTAGCTATCATTGTTATTACTAAATCTTCCCTGGGGAGACAGAATCGTGATATGGTTTAAAAATTCTTTCCTGGAGTTGAAAGATATGTTCTTTGAGGTAATAAGAAAACTGTCCAACCAACTAGTATGGGGAGACACACATCACCCCATACTAGTCAATCTTGTAACAGTGCCATTTTTCACTTTCTGAAAGGAAGAAGAATGCTGTCATGATAAAATGGTATGAGGACCCCAAAGTGAGAAGGGAGTAAGCAAGCATGGCCTCTCTGTGGTCACATAAGGCAGCACAGGCTAATGCAGAGGGCTAGTGCTGTATTTGGAGCAGGAGGATCTTGGTTCTAATCCCAGCTCTGCCACTTTTGTCACCCAGGACCAATCGCTTCACTTTTCAGGGCCTACCTTCCAGCTCCATGCCTATAATCCTACAGACTCTTCAATCTCCATCAAGATTTCCATGTTCCCTTTTATTCTCAACCTCAACCAAGTATAAGACAACAGGATATTTAGTAGGCAATTCAGTCTCTCCAAAAAAGCCCTTCCCTCTCTTTCCAGAAGTCTGAGAACTATAGTAAGAGTGGCTACGGAATGGCAAGTGTGTAGGAGCCATTATATGTCACAATACACTGTCCTTGGTTCCACCACTGCCTATGTATCATCCTAGATTGGGAATCAGAAGGAACTTTTAGAGGTTAAAGAATCTCAGAGTTGGAAGAAACCTCCCAGGGCAGCTAGTCCAACCTGATTAAGAATTCCTTCTACAACATCCCAAATTCAACAGGAATCTATGAGGATTCCTACTCTCTTTCAGGCATTCCAATAGGCATTGTATATACAAGAACAAAAATTCCTATTTTCACATTCTACTAGAACAAAGACAAGATATAGACAGTAGATACAAAATAATATTGGGGGGAGAGGGGGTCAGACAGCGGCTTCACTAACATCTTGAAGGATCAATCCAGTTCTCCTTTAGATGGTGGCACTTGAGCAGAGCCTTGAATAGAGTTAAAGACTCCTGGAGGTAAAGGTAAAAGGGAAAGCATTCCAGGTATGGGAGAAAGACTAAAAAGCAGTCAGGACATAGAAAGTTCACATATAAGGAACAGCAAATAGTCTAGTCTTGGCAGAACTTACACTGATGAAGAGGAAATAAAATACTACATACTTCTAAGATAGGCTGGAGCTAAAGAGTGTATTAACTGCACAACAGAGAAGTTTGTAATAAGGAACCAATGAAGTTTCCTGAAGATAGGCAGATGTGTAGAGTGCACGAGAAAGGGCAAGAGGGGCTGTCCTGAATCAGAGTTGCAGCCATATGAGTAGAGAGAAAAGGAGAGGATGTGAGATAGGATGTGGTGGCAAGAGGCAGGTAACCGACTGGATCTGAGGGTTAAATGAAAATGAATTAAAGCTAATTTAGAGATTGGGAACCTGAATGGAAGAATAGTGGTACCCTTGATAGAAATCAAGATGTTAGGAAAAGGAATGGGTTAGGGATTGGGAGGGAAAGAGGGAAGACAAGTCTTTTTAGATACACTGAGTTTGGCCTATAGGCCATCCAGTTGGAGCTGCCCGGCAGGCAACTGGCAAGGCAGGTGATCCCCAACAAATGGACACCCAGCCTTCAGAGAAACATGCATAGTGAAGGGGAACCACAACTATGTACTTCTGAATCGCTGGTGCAGTGGATAGAGCCAGCTTTGGGGCCAAGAAAACCTAAGTTCAAGTCTAGCCTCTGATTGACTGGCTGCGTGACCCTAGGCAAGTCACTAAGTCAGTGCTCTAGGACACTCTCCAAGATTACAAACTGCAGAGAAATCATTGGTCCAGTCCCTTATCCCTATCCCTTTCTAATCATTACAAATTTTTCCTTAAAAGAAAAAAAAAGTCTAAATATGCATCTCTGTAACTTTTACCCAATGCTATGAGTTCTGCACATGGAGAAAAGGATAAGTCTAATCCCTCTTCCACAGAACATTCTTTAATTTAGGGAGGATGGGGAAGACAGTTGCTCTCTTCTCCAGTCTAATAGCCACAGTTCCTTCAACCAGTCTTACTTCATGATCTCAAGTCCTTTAACATCCTGTTCACTCTCCAGCTTGATCAACATCCTTCCAAAAATTAACCCAGAACTGAACAGAATATTCCAAATGTGGTCCAACTAGGGCAGAGCACAAAAAGTGTATCATCTCTAATACTCTGGGCTTGAAATGGTATTCGTTGGTTTGGCTCTCTCATCAAACACTAGTGACTCATACTGAACTTGCAGTCCACTAAAACCCCCAGGGCTTTTGCAGATGTACTTACTGCTCTCATAAAATCCCAGATTTCCCAGTCAAACCCCTTCACCTTTTAGATGAGGAAACTAAGGTCCAATGTTGTCATTATCCACGGGCAGAACAGTTCTGTTAACTGTCTTTGAAAGGTTCTCCCTTCCTTGAGTTTGGATGAAGAAATTGGGTCTTTCCTTTATGCAAATATTTTTACCCCAAGGCTCATTTTAGCCAGCCTAAATAGTATGCAGGAATAGAGACATGGCTTGAGGAAAAAAGAATGCAGCTAGCCATGTCAATGGAAACATTCACTTGTCCAAGAAGAAAACGCCCGGTATTTTGGAAGTGGCTTATCAACCGCTGAAGAATGTGGCTACAGAGACTCTTCATTAACATCCCATAACTAAGAACTGGTGCCCTTCAGACAGTGAAGAAAAAGAACTTCCTCAAGTAAGCATGTAGTTTATAACATTCCACTTCCAAAACTAGTACCAACAGTGACTTTTTTCAGAAACAATTTCTTACCTCCAGCTCTTCATTCTGTCTCTGTAAGTCTTCGAGAATGACCTGCAGCTCCTCTTCATCCTCACTCTCACTCTCACTCTCAGAGGAATATTCCTCTGTTTCACTCCGACCGTGCTGCTGTCGACTAGAATGGTAAAGGTGACCAAAAGCTTCATATACCATTATAAAGAAAATGGTACTGCCAGTATTTATCAGGTTTCTGCACACATATTTAATTCTAACACCATTAACAAACGTGGTTCTATTTTAGGCAAATGGAAAGCTAAATATGGCTTTAATATGAAAACTCTTGGGGATTTTTTGTGGGTTTTTTTTAAGTGGGGAAGGAAAGAGCTGAGGCATAATAAAAGTCCCCAAGTTACAGATAGTGGTCAGAAATTATGGTAGGCTTTAGGAGGAGGAAGGGTGTATTATCAAAGATTCTCCAGGCTTTTCCCTTACCTTTGAATTTCAGCAATTTCTGCTCTGAGACGTTCTATCTCTTCTTTTTCTGAAGCAATCTGTCTCCGAAGGAACTGTTCCATAACTAGAAGCTCTTCTTGTTCAGTCAGAATCTCATTTTCCTAAAATAACCAAGGAAAATTATCTGAGCAGGTCTTGAATTTTTCACAGAAGACTCTATAAAATCCTACATTCTTAGGAGAATCCAATGTCCTAAATTTCCAAGGACTTCAAGGCAACCAATACACAGAAACAGATCCAAAACTGAAGGGGCTAGCTCTGTTCCTTTTTAATCCTTTTTCACTACTAGATCCCCATGAGTCAGCATCTTTAAACCTCCCTCTCAAATTCCATCTTGGGTTCCAAGTGACCTTAGCTACATAAAACCACTAAGGTTTTATGGTAGAAGCTGAGGCACAAGCTTATACTCAGGGTCTTGAGTTTCAAAATAATTTCAATAAGAAAAAAGTTTTCTAATCTGAATTCCTACTCTTATATTATTCCTCAAAAATGTCAGAAGCGGGGCAGCTAGCTGGTGCAGCAGATAGAGCACCAGCCTTGGAGTCAGGAGGACCCGAGTTCAAATCCAGCCTCAGACTAGACACTCAACACTTACTAGCTGTGTGACCCTGGGCAAGTCACTTAACCCCAACTGCCTTTAAAAAAAAAAAGTGGAAAAAAAAGTCAGAACCTATTTTCAGAAAATTTCCAAAGCGTGTTTTAACTATATAGCTATTTTAAAATCTGGCTATACCTACAGAACAGAGGCACCCATCTACCCATGCTAAAGCTTCTTTACATAGTATAAAAGAAAAAAGAAAGAAGCAGGCAGACAGCAGACACTTCAAACTCTGGAGAGACATGAAAATTAGATGAAGATACTGTAGCAGCATGATATGGTGGTTCCATTCTCTCCTCCCCTCAGCATCTGAAAGGACTAACATAAAATACCTAGAGTATGAATGGGAGAAAATAGGAATGATTTCTTCCTAGGTAACACTAGAAGGTTTCCAGAGATGACAAGGAAGGATTTAAAATGACGTGCTTGCTGCTTATAGCTTACACATCCTAATGATGACGTTTTGTAAGGCTATAACAAACCTGCAGATCAGAGCTTCATTCCTTTCTAGTTAGCTTCTTAGGAATCTTCAGAATGGATTAATATGGATTATAATAAATTCAGAATGGAGAGTAGACTCACTTTCAATTCACAATCAAATTTTGAAACATAGAAATCAAATATTTAAAATGAGTTTCAAGCCCAAAGTATAAAACATTAACAAATAATGCTTATTATTATGCTTAGTAACAAAAGCAAAATACTTTCAGATGTTGGACGCTATGGTCTAATGTCATATATCTAGTTTATGCAGAAAAATTAGTAAATTAAAAAGGTGACTGTTGAGCTTTTCCCATATGATAAATTGCATGGGTTTGAAAAACAAGTTTGGGAAGGGAAGATATAACCTTTGTGTGTTGCTTAGACTTATGGCACATTTTACCAAGAAATCCTCTGAGAGAGGGAGTTACCTTTAAACATCTCCCTGAGCATACTCCAGATGGGCAAAAAGGTTTTGATGCCAGTGTTCAATACTTGTTCAAGTGCACTGAATGATGCTTCACGCTGAGCAGATTTACATTACCTATACAATTTTTTTCTGTATGCTGAAACCCTGTCATTGGAAGCATGTTTATATATCTCATATTCTTTTCAAATATTGTGCTAAGGTCTATGTTTCTACAAGTTCTAGGAAATAAGAATTTCCACTGTGAATTGGCAAAATTATGACTCCAAGATTATAAAAAGCACATAAAACGGATGGTGCTTCACGTAGTATTACGCCTCAATGCTCCACAGATACAAGAAGCTTTATATATACTCTATAAAAGGATCACGTTTGGTTCTACCAAATAAAAACCAGGGTAATCAGGAGAAGTAAGGTGGCTGTTTTACATCCAGTCAACACAGTAACTGAATCAATTAGTTCCAAGTAAACTTCTTTTCTTTGCAATTCTCATGTAGGGGAAATTGTCCTATTTCTTCAAGAGATCTTGGGAAGTAATCTCTGGTCTAATTTCCACCAAAAGAAAGTTATAATTCAAGATTTTTATAAACTTTTAGAAAACAAGTTATGAATGCATTACAAAAGGGAATATACATGTCTTACTCCCTCTGCTAAATAGCAATGCCGTTCTCTTCCCAACTATGAAATTTATAAGCTACACACTATAACTGTGGAATAAAGAATATCATCTCAAGAGCTTGGAAGACACTCCTCTGTTATTGCCCTATACACCTGGACAAAGCAAACCCATAGTGTTTACATCTTTTTCCAGTGAAGGAGCACTTCAGTGGGACCCAAGTGCAGACAAGATAGCCTGATCAACTCTATAAGACCACACTAAAACTTCACTGCAATGGGAAGAAGGGCCCTAGCCCTCATTCTTATGAAATATCCATACTGATGTTTTATTGATCCACATCTATAAAAATATCTTATTTTATGATAATTTTGGTTGTATCAGACCATGGTCTACCACGGAGGATAACCTTTATAGGTCACACTTTGAAAACCACTGCTTTGTTCAATTCACTTTATTTAAAAAAAAAAAAAAGATTCCTTAAAAACCTATTCTCTATTATTAATCTAAATCACTCCATTCTCTTCAATGAAGTATATATAACTGAATTTTCTTGAGACACAGAAAAAGGAAAATTAGCTACAAAAATATTAGAGACTAAAATATAGTACCTGGGCAAGTAGAATATTTATAACTTCTTCATTTTCATTCATTTCTTCTTTGGAAACATCCTCTTTTGAAAGACTGGCAATCTCTTGAGCAATCTTGGTTTCACACTCCTGTCAAACCAGACAGGTAATGGATTACAAACCGACAGGTAAAGGACTACTATTTCACACACACAGCAGCTTTCAGAGAGCTACAAAATACTCATTCACACTTTTCTAAAACATTTCTTCTGGAAGATTACCTTTCTGTTTCCTTTTCTAGAATTTAAAAATAACAGCAGTCAAGGTAATCATCTGTCCATTTTTTATGACATACACCATTTCCTTATACCCAAAAAAGTATTATGAGGAGATAGGGCACTCTATAAAATGAATGTTTACTTCTTTTACCTTTGGTACTGAGACCACAAAGCCAAAGAGATCCTTACATTCTGAGTGAAAGACTACTATACTTCAACACTGAATCCTAATGCCTGAGATATATATCACAGAACCCAGACAGCATGCATGACCTTCCTACTTACCCCTCAGATGGTCCAGAAAAATAACAGAATAATTGGGAAGAGTCAATTTAACCTTTTCTATGTTGACCCAGTCATCTCCAGTTTACATAAACCAATAAGGAAATGTGTTCAGATTTATGTTCCTTGAAAGGAATGTAGGAAAATCAAATCTATTCTGTCACCTCTTTGTATCCAGGGACCAGCGGCCTAGAGTTGGCGACAATAAGCATGAGTTCCATAAGACTCATAGTTTAAAATCTACCTGTGGATTGGCTTGGTTTGTTCCAATCTCATGTTTAAAGGGGAAAAAAAAGGGAACAAAAAAGGGGACAAAGGGAAGCAAAAAGTATAAGAAAATGAGGATTTGTTGGTGAGAATAAGGAAAGAAAATATAAAGCAACCAAGATTCTAAAAGGACTGCACTTTTTGACCTTCTCAAAGGGCTTCTGCTGAGGCGGGGAGGCAGGAAGGGGGGAGAGGGAACTACTAACAAAGTAGTTTCCCTTCTGAAAGAAAATGAAAAATAGAACAACTGATCCCTTACCCAAACACAAATCCCTAACTGCTCTATGGACACAAAGGTGCACCTGAAGAGTTTTGGTTTTTTGTTTTTTTGGTTTTTTTTTTTTTTAAATACTACACAAAGCTAACCTACAAACTGTGCTCAGCTCTGAGACTCCTTGGAAACTAGGCCTACAAGGAAGATCCAGGAGAGCTAACAGGTTTCAGGTTTCACCAGGTGTGCAAATGCAAGAACTACACTTTCATTTAAAGCCAATCTGATTACCTGGTTCCTAGTTACTAGAAGCTGGTTGGATACCAACACTCATTTAATAAAAAAAAAAAAACTGAGATCCCCTCTGCTTTTCACTATCTCAGTCTCCCACTTGCTGTCTCATCTGTTTTTCTCAGATCCTAAAGCCCCAATTCATCACTCCAAAGTTCATGAGACTTCAGCAACCCCTTAATCAGTGGCCCCATCTGACCTACTTCTAAGACTTCACAGAACTCTGTTTACAGATGTTATAGACTAAGTAACAACACAACATACTCAACTTGGTCCTTTAAAAATTAGTCAAGTTTGAAAAAAGCATTTAGAAAAAAAGCTTAAGCTTAGAAAAATGAATAATTAGTTTTAAATTTCAATATCAATAAATGTAACTTTGGAATATTTACTAAACCAAGTGAATGAATTTCAAGAAATACAACTTAATTTAAAAGAAACTTAGCTAGAGTACAAAAGACTTCTAGCCATATACATACTGTGGGTAATAAATTATAAACATGGCTGGTGGAATAATATAATTACTTACTTGTCTTTTTGCTTCTCTCAGTTTCCTTTTGAGGGCTGTTAAAATTCTTTGTACCTCCCATAACCTTTCTTCCTTGGATAAATCTTTTATTCCTGCCTGTAAATCTCGGTGTAGACAGTTCAAAAGAAACTCCTAAAAAATACCACAGACACATCATTTGCAACTGCTTACCACTGAAATAAATGCCGTGTCTTTTCCAACCTTAAAAATATTACGCACTAGTAGATTTGCAGTTTCATGTACAATCATCTTTTTTTTTGTACTATGTTATGGAAATGCTTGTTTTGTTCCATAAATTAAAAATAATTTAAAAAAACACTGTTCCACTTCTAAATAATGCAGTCAGCTTAATTATCTGCCCTGATGGGCAAGGCAATGCTATACTGAAAATGTTAAATGAAAATTAATTTCTATTTGTTTTGCTTAGGACTTGTTATTATTTTGCTTCCACTCCCATTTTGCTTTCATTCCCTGAGCACTGTTCAACTGATGAGGCAAGTGGGTAGGAGACACAAGCCTATAATTTCAAAATCTGCTGCCCTAATAACAAAACAATAAAATACTCATCCCATTGAAAAAATTTCAGGAAATATTTATTGCAAGGATTCTTCCTGATTGCCGGGGGGGGGGGGGGGGGGGGGGGGGGGGGGGGGGGGGGGGGGG